CATCTTGTCGGGTCCCTCGCCAGGACAATGTCTCCTCCGGTGCTATCAACTTTGTTTGAGGCGATGGCTTGTTTGGGTTTCCGACCGCCCGAGACGGCCATGAGGCCACTAAGAAGGCCCCGAGTCGGCTCAAGATCGCCCAGGACGCTCCCCAGAGGGCCCCCAAATGGCCCCATAGCGCTCCAAGAGGGCACCAAGACGGCCCAGAGAGGCCCCACAGACGGTCTCCGAAGGCGTCAGACGGGCCAATCGCTTCCCTAAGACGCCCAAAGAAGGCCCACGAGGCCCACGAGAGGCCCCAGGAGGACCCCACGGGATCCCCTCAGAGGCCCTCCAGGAGGTTCCCATGAGGCCCCCAGAAGCCACCAAAGGGCCCCAAGAAACTTTCTCCTCCTCGTCCTCATTTTCTCCCTGTCCTCTTCCTTCTCCTCCCCCTCCTCCTCCACCTCCACCTCCTCCTCCTCCTCCTCCTCCTCCTCCTCCTCCTCCTCCTCCTCCTCCTCCTCCTCCTCCTCCTCCTCCTCGGACGAAGACGATGTCGGGACCACGACCCTCCCCAATTCAGACCACTCGCTGAACTGCCGCGGGGTGTGACCTTGACCTCCTTCCTGACGCGTGGACGAAGACGAGATCGAGTCCACGACCGTCCTCATCAGACCACTTGTCAGAATTGCGCTGTTGATACACTGAGTCTCCTTGCTGCAGCGCTGTTCCACAGGCACGGTGGCGGGACATGCTGCAGGCAGCTGGATACAAATAAAACGCACATGTGTGACTGATAGTTACATTCAGCACATACATGGGAAAAATAAGTTGCGGACCGCATGGGTGTACACATGTGGATCCAAGCATATGCCGACATACGTGCGTATATATGCACAGGTTTATAAACAGAGAAACAGCGGGAAAGCGCTATACATAGACCGGGTAGGAGATGGCGAGAACGATAACGGGGCATATTGACATTGGAAGTTGGAGGGAGGAAGGGAGGGATAGCGAGAGAGACATAGCTAGACACATAAGAAAAGAGAGAGAGAGAGAGAGGAAACACAACGGCACACCTATATCTAGAGAGAGAAGTATAAAAGGGAGAGAGAGAGAGAGAGAGGGCGAGAGAGATAAGAGATACGGAACGATACATACATAGATATACACATATATATATATAGAGAGAGCCATACGTATATACACAGAGAGGAAGAGAGACGGCGAGCAAGATACACTATGGTAATGTGCTTCACATCTCTATTGATGGCATGATGGGACTCACATTTTTTGTGTGTGATATCTGAGCAGGCATGTAGGACATTAGATACATAAGTATGTGTACACACATATATGTATATGCACTATATGTTTAGTAAGCTTGCATAGTACCTACGTAATACTATACATATGTGAATATACAAACATAGCGGCTACACATTACAAATCATACTGTGGACTGCAGGGGGGGCACACACACTCACACACACACACCACACACACACCACACACCACACACACACACACACACACACACACACACACACATACACACACACACACACACACACACACACACGGCCCAAGAGGGTCCAGAGTCGCCGACACATTGCTCCAGGACGCCCGAGATGGCCCCCAGACGGCCCAAGGCGCCTCCAAGACGCTCCAAGAGGCCCCCAAAGGCACTCCCAAGACTGCCTCAAGAGGCAAATTGTATTGTACGCCCAATAGTGTTTGAACGATTTTAGCGTTTCTGCCTTCTCGGCTTCCCAACGCTTCAAGACGGCCCAAGAAGCCTCAAAGATCGCCCAAAGACGGCCTACGAGGCAATCAATAAGGCGCCCAAACAGCCCACAAAGCCCCCAAGACGGCCCAAGAGGCCTCCCAAACGGCCCAAGACGGCCCCAAGAGCGCCCCAAAAGGGGCCCCAGAGGGCGAACAAGAGGGGCCCCAAAGGGCGAACAGGAACCGACATTTCAAGCTCACCGCCCCAAGAGTCTTCCAGGAGGCCCCCAGAGGCTCCCAAGAGGCTCCCAAGAGGTTCCCAAGAAGCTCCAAGAGGCCCCCAAGAAGCCCCCAGGAAGCTCCAAGACGCTCCCGCGAGGGCTCAAGGGGCTCCCAATGTGCCTCCAAACAACATCCAGAGGCCCTCGACAGCCCTCCGAAGAGATGCCGACAACCATCCACGAGGACTCTGACCCACTACCCAGGCACGGTGGAGGGATGGACCACGGGCCACGAGACAATCCAACAGGGGCCTGAAATCGACCGAGCGCCCCGAGAGAGACCCCAGAGGGCCCCCACATAATTTCAAGCAAGCCCTCAACAGTCACCGCTGCGGGCCGTTTCGGGGGCCCTCATCACGGAAGCCCTCATGGGGACCTTTGGGGTCCTTCTTCAACAGTTTGGGACCCTCAGGGAGCCCGGAGAGAGCTCCAAGAAGCCTCCAAGAGAGCCCGGCAACAGAAGCTCCAAGAGGGTTCCCAGAAGGTCCCAACCAATGGCATAGGTACGGTGGCGGGATGGGCCGTGGGCCACGTAATCCAAGAGGGGCTTGAGATCGCCCGAACACCCCAAGAGATCCCCCCAGAAGGCTGCCACAGATTTCTCCACGAGACGGCCAGGCTCGACTACCAGATGATCAGAGATGGCGCTGCGTTGCCGCCAAGACGACCCACGATGCCCTCAAAGACGGTGAAGGTGACCCCGTATGACATAAGATGGCCCCACAAAACTTCCAAGACGGTCCTGGATGGCGGCACGAGGCCGCCATGAAGCCCGAGGAGGCTCCCAGAGCCTCGAAAAAGGCTCCCAAGAGGTCTCCTCGTCCTCCCCCTCCTCATCCTTGTTGTCCTCCTTGTTCTCCTCCTCCTCCTCCTCCTCCTCCTCCTCCTCCTCCTCCTCCTGCATCTCCCGCTCCTTCTCCTCTTCATCCTCCTCCCTCTCCTGATTCACCCACTCTTCTGCGAAAGCACATCGTAAACTGGTTTGGCCAAGCTGTGCTGCTCGTCATGCACTTGTTGGGGATATCATGGATCTTGAGGGGAAAACTTCGGGGCTTCAGGTCCCAACCTTTCCGAACAACTCTCGCTGTCACTTTCATCATGGGGATCTTCCTTCAGGGTTGGCGGCACCGGCTGTAAGGCCTTCACTAGGATAATGTGTGTGCATAATTATGTGCATGGACGTGCCCCTACATATTCAACGTGTAGCTGAGACTGGACATGCTGTATACAGGGAGAATGAAACATAGTGTGGGAGACAAAGCGGGACATCTAGCTTGATAGAAAAAACAGAGAGGGAGAGAGAGAGAGAGAGAGAGAGAGAGAGACAGAAATACACAACATCGAACGAGAGACAAAGCTATACAGACAGAGAGAGGGGGCGAGAGACAGAGGACTGGAGAGAGAGAGAGGGAGAGCGAGAGAGACCGAGGGATACACATCCACATATAGTATATATCTGTAGACATCGAATCATACGCAGGTGCACATTCATAATACGGATTCACGCTGATACGCACATAGATGTGCGCGTGCCGTGTGTGTCGTTCTTGTTGCCCCCATCCCACCGATGCGCAGCATGGTGCCACATCTGCTGGGGTCGTGGCCGACACGACCGACGAGAAGCTCGCACATCCCAGCAGGCGCACTCGCGCGTGGAGCCCCGTCGCGAGGGGAGCGGGCGGGACGGGACGGGCGGGCGGGCGGACCCTGACGGGCGGCACGGGCGGGCGGACCCAGGCGGGTCGGGATGCAAATAAGAAGACTTGGATACGCTGCGAAGAACACCAACGCCCAACGCCTCTACCGCGTGAGACCTCACGTCGACGCCGATCCCAATCTGCGTTGCGAGCGGGACGCGCGGCTGGCCTAGCGATGCAAGAGCCCATGCGGTGCACAGTCAGCAGAGCGCAAATGCCCCGCGCGCGATCATCTTATGATCTAGTGCGAACCAAGCTCGCCAAACCACTGGCTTTCAACACAAACAATGGCTGAGACTGTGATGCAAGACATGGCTTGCTTCTTGGTTGCATCATGTGCCCAACCAGAATCATTACACCATGCAGCAATCGGCTCCGTTAGCTTGAGATTGGCATACATTCCGACATATTCGTGCTACGATTCGTTCTGTGTATGCGCGCAGTCCGCTTTGTTACATTCTGCAGCAATTCCGAACACAACCAATTGTAATACCAACGCGTGTGCGCCGCATAATGTTGTTAACAAGGATGGTGACCGTTCAGCGCGCGTGCGTGTGGCCCGCATGGCAGTGCGTGCCAAGCAACCGGCCCCGATGTGGCCCGGTGAGGGTTAATGTACAGGGTGGTACTGCTAGCATGAAGGTTGAAATCATTGGAGCAATGTCGTTGCCCACGCTGCAGGTACGCATGTTCGTGCCTGTGAGCCTGGGCGTGTGACTGCCTTGGCCGTCCACGCGCAGCGTGGAGCAGGCGCCGCTTACTTGCACAGGGATGTTGAGTACTCGTGCGATCGCGCGCTCAGAAGTACTTGCGGCACCAGGCCCATGCAGATAAGTCCAATCTCCGATTGAGGCATCTTCCTGGAGAGAGCCAGGCAAAAGCTGAGAGGCGGAAGGGGCGAGCACACAAACAATGTAACGAATATGATAAAGAGAGCGCACAGCAAAAGTAGAACGAACTACGATTTGTAATCCCAGCCATTGCAGTCACCTGCTCTCACCTTGTGCAGCCCTTCCAAATGAAACTTCGTTTCAAAAGGATGGTGCGAAGGGTGGGAACATATTTAACATAAAGGAAGACGAGAAAATATGCAGATGAAACGGCACCCGTTTCTCTAGTGTGACGATACGCAAACGATGTGCCGCGAAGGCCCGCAAGCAATTGTCCTGGACAGGGCCGAAAGATTCGTCCAGCCGCGGCGGCGAATACGCCACCCTGGGTCGAAGTCGATTAACCTGTGATGCCGCATCGGTAGACGGCGTATGCAGTTGGCTGTGCGACGAACCCGTGCGGACGACAGCACGAAGCATGCCTGCGCGCGATTGACCTGCTTGGCGTTCGCGTCCGTGGCTGGCAACAGCACGCACAGCTCCTGCTTGAACATACCCCAGAGCCCCTCGCTCCTCATCCTCATCATTAATTAGGAGCTGCATTGGAGCCTGAAGGACTTTGCAAATGGGGCCTGCAAATTCAGTCGACACGGATCGCACGGAGCCTTGTGCAAACGGTTGCGCAAGCTCAGCCAGTGTCCCAATTCCTGCAAAACGAGTGAAGCCCGCCACTGAGCCGACCAGAGTCTGAATCGACATCTGCTATTCTGTTGAACATTCACGGCGCGCGAGTCTGGCTGCAGGTCATTCAAATTCAACCAGCCTTCTGGGCATAGGTGGTCTAACGATATCTTCCTTTCCTCTTCCAAAAACATCTTCCCCTTCGGGGCGGGATACCCTCCCCTTTCCCACGATGCGGCTTTTCGAATCCCAGGCAGAGGGGTCATAGCGCCCAAGATGGTCCAACATGGCTGCAATAGGGCCTCAAATCTTCTAAGATGGCCCCCAAGTTGTCTCAAGACAACCGAAGATAGTTCTATATCGCTTCCCAAATGCCTCCGAACGGCCCCAGGAGGGCCACAACACGGCCCCAACCCTTGCAGGAACCACAATTTGACCTCCCCAACAACCAACATCATCAACACAAGCTACGGCCAATCTGAATGTTTTGCCGTCTAGCCTTTTCGCTTCCGATGGGCGTCTGAGGTTTCAAGATGGCGCGGCAAAGACCCCAAGAGAGCCCACAAAGGGGCCAAAGAGGCCCCCCCAAATGGCCTAACGAGTGCCCAAGAAACTCCCAAGATAGCCCCAACAGGCTTCCCAATAGTGTTTGTTCCTCCGACCCCGAAATGGGGACTCCAATGATAGATGATGGCTTTCCCCAATTTTGATCGACGGCTTCCAAGATCGCCCCAAGATGGCCCCAAACTCTCCAAGGATCAATGTGGCCCCGAGAGGCCTTCAAACGCTACCAGGAGGCTCCCGAGAGGGCTCCAAGAGGGCCCGAAGTCTCCCCAAACGAGCCCGAAGCGGACCCCCAAGCCATCCAAAATAGCCCGAAAAAGGGCGGCGATAGCGCCCCGAAGGGACCCTAAGACGGCCTCCGGCAGCGCTCAAGATGGCTGCCAGAGTCTTCGTCGTCGTCCTCTGCTTCTCCTCCTCCTCCTCCTCCTCCTCCTCCTCCTCCTCCTCCTCCTCCTCCTCCTCCTGGTCTTCGTCCTGTTCCTCCTCGCCTTCATTCTCTTGCTCCTCGCCCTCCTCCTTGTTCTCGTCTTCCTCCTCGTTCTCGTCCCCGCAGTGGGTCTCACCAGGCTGATCAAAAACTTGTTCCACTGCGTGCTCCTGCACTGTCCTGATCAAAGAGTCGCCTGGGCATCGTTCCTGCACGGGCCAACGAGAAAACCCGAAGCGTCAAACATTCAAATAGCTGTGCTGAGCTTCTCTTCGCCTTTCTTGCTTCTACGCTTTCTACATGGCTGGGCCAGTCGCACGATGTAGCCCCCGCACCGTTGAAAGCCTGGAGTAATGTAAGATGACGGTTAATAGAAGAAATAAGATGAGGCTCGGCTTCTCGCCTCTTTCCGCTTCCTTGCCTCGCTCCCGGCAGGCGCAGGGCACCCTCGGGCACACCGCTGGGCCGTGCGTGCGCAAGGCCTTCCCCTGTCTGGTGGGGCTCGGCAGCCCTCCGCATCCGTTCGCTGCTCAGGGGCCGTCCCTGCACCGGGCCCTCCGCTCCTTCTTTGCTCGTCGCTGTTGTCATGCCATGTGTCGATTACAAAACAATGTTAGTTTATTCCCTCTCTCTTTCCCTCTCTCCCCATCTCTTTCTTTCTTTCTCTCTCCCTCCCTCCCTCTCTCACCTTCTCTCCCTCCCTCTCTCCCTCCCCTCCCTCCCTCCCTCATTTTTTTGTTTGTTGTTTTTTTGTGTTTGTTCTCTCTCTCTCTCTCTCTCTCATGCCTTGTTTATAAGTTGGGATCTTCCATTTCTTCCCCTGCCCTGCCGCGCAAAGGGCTCCTCGCACCCTGCTCCTCCTGTTTCCCCTGCTCCTCTCCCCCTCCTCCTTCTCCTCCTCCTCCTCCGCCTTCTCCTCGCCCTCCTCCTCCTTTCACGCGGGCCAGACCTGAATCCTACGATTGTGGCGTTCTTGAATGAACAAATAAAGCGCGACTCGGGTTAAGACGTTCCTGGCGGGCGCCGCGGAAAATTAGTTATTCAAGTCGAGGCCAATCATAAGAAGAATAATAGGCGCCCCCCAGGTCTTCGAGGGAGGCACTAACATTGGTAGGTAAATGTTCCCAATAAGAACACCCTAGTAAAGCCTTTTTTCAAGGTAGTGCCTCCTCGGGTGGCAAGTCAGTAAAAGAGTGCAAGGGCAACGCAATGACTGTGGCAGTCAGTTCTTGGGTTGCTGTCCAAGGTTTCGGGTAACCCCAGACCGTATCAGACCGTATGCAATTCCTCCCCATCTAACCTGGTAGCCCCACCTGTCCCATTTTTATGGGGTCAGAATATGTGCCAACTAGGCATGCTGTAATGTCCCCGGCAAGCTTGATACGAGAGGTAAGGCTGGGTGGGAGGCAAGGGAGGGACTGCGCGTGTACAAAAAGTGGCGTCTGATGAATGCCAAAGAGATGATTCCTCCTCCGCCACCTCGGCTTGGGCACCAGTTGGAAGCAACGTGTACCTTGTAACAAAAAGAACTAATCAGTGGGTACACGTTGCTTCATGGGCAGGGCTGGCGTGTTGGGCTAGCCTGGAGAGGTGCCAGTAGCTGTATGTACCGTGATGTAGCTAGTAAACCAGCTCGGAGATAGGAGTCCTTGCCTGTAAGCTAAGGTGAGAGTATCTGCGCTGATACGCCTGAGGATATAAGCTCGTGAATCCTCCTCCACCGCCACCGTAGACCCTTACCCCACACCTCCGCAGTCACTTACGCTGTCTTGCAGCATAGAAGACGCTACTGCACGGCAAACTCTGGGGTTGCCGCCCAAGTTCTGTCCCGGCGGACCTGTGTGAAATTCTGCGCCCGCCGGTGCCTGACTCTCTGACTGAGTGACTGACAGGCTGACTGAAAGTCTGGGGAACAAGCGTTTCAAACCGCCCGCGGGAGCGCGCAACCGCAACCAAACGACACATTTCAACCCGCCCGCGCGCGTATTCGCAACCGCAACCAAACGACACATTTCAATACAGCCCGCGCAACCGCAACCGCAACCACAACCAGGCGACACATTCCAACCCGCCCGCCCGCGCAACCGAAACCGCAACCAGGCGAGGGATGATGTACTGCAGGACCGGGGGGGGGACGAGGAGGAGGAGGAGGAGGAGGAGGAGGAGGAGGAATACGAGGAAGACGAAGACGAAGAGAAGGAAAGGGAGGGGCAGGAAAGGGGCGGGCAGGCTGGCCAAGAGGAGGAGGAGGACGATTGGTAGGGGGATGCATGAGTGCGGGTGTTTGAGGAGGTGCCGGAGCAGGTGCTACCGGTGGGGGACGACCAATGGCGCAATGGGAAGATGGAAGGCCAGAAACCATGAGGAGGAGGAGAAGGAGTCCACGTAGCCTGGGGGACAAGTCATGCAACCACTCTACATTCAATTATTTGATTGTGGCCTTATCGGCCGAGATATGGAGGGACGCGTGCGGGAAGGGGTCGAGGGCACGGCCCCAGCACGTTCCTGGTTGGTCTGGCAGGCCAGCAATGCTGAGTGCCTCGCCTGTGTGGTAATGCTAGAAGTGCCGAACAGATGCGGATGGCATGCAAGCTCGGCTCTGAGTTTATGAAAGATATGGAAACTCAGCGCAGTAAGCTCATGAGCACGTTGTCTCGAGATCTCTGCGGCTCTGCACTCTGCTTCCGATCCGAGCCCTAGACGGACAATGGGATCAGAGGGGAGAAAGAAGCGGCCAGGGAGAGCGAGGAGGTGAAGCAAGCGAGGGCAAGCAAGGTAGTGGGCGAGAGAGTCGGGGGCGTGCTCACATCCAAAGCGGCAGGGCAGCGGGGTCAATGTGTGAACCCTTCGGGAGGTGATCCATGCACCCGCCAGAGTTTTGAGATGCGCCCAGACTAGCATGGGCGTTGACGAGCTTAGAACGAAGTTCAGCTTGTGCCAACGCACCCTCAGCTCGTCGGCCGAGGGGGGAGCAACAGGGTAGAGGGCAGACGAAAGGCGACGGTGGAGAAGGAGGTGGAGGTCGTCAGGGAAGAGGCGAGAGGTAAGGATGGCAATGAACTTCGATTGGAGGGCGATGCGGCGGCGGCGACAGCGCACAGCCTGTTCTCTCCGAATTTCGGCCTCAGCCGCCGCGATCGTCGCTCGCGGTATGCAATGTGCTGGGAGGCTCGCAGTCGCATGGCGCGGTCCTCGGCCGCTCCATCCTGCGAATTGCGGGGCAATGCTGTGCTGGATTCTCCAGCACGGGGCAGACCACTTACCTCGGATGGCAGAGACCAGTGGGAGCTCCTCTACCGCAACTTCTGCGTGACACTCCAGGATCCCCTCCCACTCACCCGCCAGCGTCGACGTCGCCATCCTCCATCCCGCAGCAGTCGTTGTGAGCAAGACAGAACGCGGTGCCCCTGATCGGAGTCAATTTCCTATGCTGAACAATTCACTGCGCTTGAAAGAGCTTGGTGGTATTCTAAGCATTTTGTGCAACGCCCATGTCTCCTTTCTAAGTACATGCATGGATATGGCAAAAAACTGGGCCAAGTAACTGAGGACACGCAAGCAGCGTGTGTGGTAGAGGACGATGGAGGCTGCTGTCGGAGCACGGCCACCCCCCGCCTCCCTCGCACGAACCCACCACTTCTGACCAGCAGCCTCCCATTCGTCTTCTAGAGACGCGCCAGGCCCTATCAATATGCCTAGATACTTAGTGGCTGACTCTATCGAAAACGAAGCCCATGCCGGAATTCTTCTATGCAGGAACGCTACTAGGGCCTGTCGAGTCGGATGGTCGGCGAGACTCCAGAGCGGGACCAGGCATCAATTTTTCGGTTGGAGGAGGAGACCAGCAAGGGCAGCAGCAGCGTCAAACGAGGGGAGAAGCGAAGGGAGAAGAGTGACCGATCGAAGTGCTGCCCCGACGTCGTCCGCACAAGCTCCCAGGTCT